CTTCCGGTTAGCATCCTCAAGCTGTGATTGGAGTGTTGTGAAAGAAGAACTGCTTCCTGGGTACTTGCGCTTCCCGTTGATGTAAACCCCGAGGCTGCCAACACCAAAGTATTCTCCTCTGTCGTTTGTGACAGTAGACTGCATACCAAAAGAAAGAGTATTACACAGTTAGACTGCATAACAAAAGCAACCATAAATAACAGACTATTTACCTGAAGGAAGATCTCATCATCCTCCTCTTGAGATAGCTCAGATCGTCGTGAAGTCCCATCTGCTTGTTCATCATTCTCTTGAAGGGCAGCCAACTTAGCTGCCTTGTTCTTGAGATATGTTTCATGGACTTCCTGCGCCTTCCTATCCACAAAAGTCCCATCCTTCTTGGTATGAGTCCTGATGAAAACTTCACCAATAGTAGGAGGTCTTCCCAATTCAACTTCCTGAATTAAAGTAAATATATAGGTCAGAATGTAACTAAGTAATCTAAAACTAAAACAAAGTAAATAGGTCAGAATGTACCATCTCTTGCTCTATTTGTAAAAACGACTTTGGACCAGAAACATGCTTGTGAGGACCAAGACCATTACGGTCAGACATCCTAGCTGCTGATGTGGTTGAACTCTTTGCTAATGCTTCTTCAGTGTCCCAATAGGCACACATCTCTATCCAAAGTGTTTTCTCGATCCAATAAGGCCTCTCTCGTTTTGAACATGCCTTGCTAACCATGTCTTTCATTCGCAGCTGACAAATCTTGTAGAATTTAGCTTCAACAACACCTGTCACTGAGGGATGCCAGGTGTGTAGTTTCTACAAAACAAGAGTAGAGTTTGGTGTTAGTGATCAAAAAACAAAACAAAAGTGTAATTACATAAGTATAAGAGGAGACAAAATTTTACCGCAAATTCGAGGAAGTATCTTTCTCTTCTACCAGTAGGCACACAGCTCCAACTGTAATATGGCCCATCAAACTTGTTTGTGAAACATTTAGTGATCTTCCGGGTTAGCTTTCCATTGTCCTTACCAAACCTACAATCACATAAACCAGTTAGCTTTGATACCATCCATAATCTATAAACAAGTGGACCTAATCAAATACAAACATACTCTAACTCAAATTATACAAGCAGACTCTACTTATGTTATACAAGCAGACCAATAAAGCTAATACTATATACTAACAGACTCTAACTCAAACTATACAAGCAGACCAATACAAACATAATCTATATACTAACAGACTCTAACTCAAACTATACAAGCAGACCAATATATAAACTAACTCTTAACAAGCAGACCTATATACAAGCAAACCTAACAGACTATAAGACCAAAACATGCAGACCAATAAGAAGACTCTACTTAAGTATTGAAAATGTTTACCAAGCTAACCTATTTACCTAATCTATATACAATCAGACCTATATACAATCAAAATTAAAAATGTTTACCAAGTGGTTTCAGGCTCGAGGTTGGGAGAGATGACGGTGGTGTACTTCTCACGGCCTGGGATGAAAAGTGTAGCATGTAAATCTGCGAGGACATCTTCTGGGAGTGTTGAATCCCTCAACACATCTTCTTCAGATTCACCTTCAGCTTCCTCATCTTCAGATTCCTCGTGTGAGTTTTGAGCCAGAGAACTATGATGCGATACAGAGGCTCGAGGTTGAGGAGAAGGTCTTTGTTGACGAGATGGTATTTGTCGATTCGACGCTGCAGGCTGAGTCGACGCTGGAGGTTGAACCGGCGCAGGAGGTTGAACCGGCGCAGGAGGTTGATTCGACCGAGAAGCTAGACGATGAATAGATCCTACAGAGCCTCGTCCTTGAACAGATCCAGACCCTCGAACTTGAGTAGATCCAGATGCCCGAAATGGATACGACCCAGAGCCTCGAGGAGAATCATCGCCGGACTGGAACAACTGCGTCAGAGGAGGATAGTCTCTATGAGTCGGAGGCTGAGACTATATGGCTACAGGATTTACCGGACTTTGCTGAGTCTCTGGGGCTTCAGGATTCGCCGGAGTGAAGGTATACTGGCTAGGAAGAGTACTGGGTCTTCGATTTGACGTCCCAGAAGCAGTGGGTCGATTGGCGACATGTCGATTTGGGGAAACCTTCGGAGCCCTTCCTCCTCCTCCTCTTCCTCTCTTACTTTTTCCACCACGGGAGCCATCAAGAGAGATACAAAAAAGGATTAAGAAGATGAAGGATTGATAGGATTTAGAGAAGAATTGATGGGGAATTAGGGTTCTTCAGTGAAGAATTAGTCGTCTGCGAAGGGAAAAGAGGATTAGGGTTTTCTGCGAAGGGAAAACGAGATATATACTTGGGCTTATGGGCTAATGTTACTGGGTCGTTGGGCTTCTTGGCCCAATTTGAATGTCCAACTAGAATTACGCAGTCGCTAATTCGTAGGCACTGAGTCGCTCCAGTTGGCGACTAAATATTCGGTAACTAATCCGTCGCCATATTTAGCGACTATATAACGACAATATAAATCAGTCTCATATTAGATACTAATTAGCGACTATCGTATTTTGGTTCATATTTAGTCGCCAAAACGTAGCTAAACGGTCACTAGCTGTAGCGACTGCAAAATTAGTCGCCGAATTAAGTCGCTAATCCCATGTTTTCTTGTAGTAACATCAACGTGGAAGCCCTCTTGGCCCATTGGTTGATCAAAGGTTAATTAATGCTTCTACACCAAGAGGTCTGGGGTTCGAGTCCCAGATACTGCGATTTATTAATAAATTTGCAGATTAATGGAGGCAAGTGTGAAGGAGATCTCCAGCGATGTACAATTATAGCCGTTCGCCAAGATTCTACGCAGAGAGAGAAGTGTCGTCAGGTCGTGGATCATTGAAGGTGTTCGTCAAGAGCATGAATTAGGAAGTGTCGTCCGTCGTGGATCTAATAAGGGTCGGAAGGAATTGTCCGTTGTAGAATCGTCTATCATAATTTAAAATAAATAATAAATCCATATGTTAAAAAAAAAAAAAAAATTAAAACATTAACTTACATTTGCCACTTCCTAATATACTAATAATATATAAGACCATCTCCAATGTATTTTTCTATTTTTTCCTCTAAAACAAAGAAAATCTATAATAGAGATGGTTTTTACTCAAATGTATTCCTCTATTTTTCCTCTAAAAATGAATTTTATTCCAAATCGATTCTAGTATTAATACATTTTATTTATAAAAGTTGCAAAAATTAACTCATTACTTAAATTTTACAAAACTTTCATAAAGTTATGGTATTATTTAAATTATGATATATATACCAAAACCTCTAAAATTAACCCAAAATATTAATTTTATTTATTTGAATCATAAATAAAAAAAATTTAGAATTTAAAAGACCAGTTTACAAATAAAAAAGTTTAACTCTAATATAGAGGAGGAAATAGAGTTTCTCTATATATAGAGCAAAAATAGCAATCTCTATTTTAGAGATGAAAATAGAGGTGGGTTGGAGTAGATTTTACTCTAAAATAGAGTTTATAAGCAAAAACATATGTGGGTTGCCTGGCAAACTATTGGTATTTACCACTTCCTAACAAAATATTTACCAAAATAAATTAATTAATAAGAAATCTATAATACTAAAATGTAACAATCAGCCCAAAATCTAATATCTACATGTCATTTTACTGGATGGTTATCATAGAAAAAAATAGTTTACTAGTTACTATAGCTTATTAAATTGATAATAAAAGATTGAGTCATAATGAAAAAAATATAAACATCTCTAAATATGAGTTGAAATAACGTTTGATTGAGTTTAACCTCAAGATTCCTGAGTTTTGTGTTTATCTAGTAATCTAGTAATTGTTAGATTGGTTCGTGATAATGGAAGAAACTTTGGAGTTTAAGTTTGTCTCTGTTATTCGATATGTTCCATTAATATTGTGATAGAGCAACGACTTGGTGTAACTCAATTAAAAATGCCTCTTGCTAGATCAGCTGTACAGAGTCTGACTCAACCAAAAGGTGAAGATCTTATGAAGAACATGGAGACACATCAAGGGGTAAAAGAAGCCATGAAAGCCATAACAAAGAAGTTTGATGAACTCATGGTAGGAGAGGGTTGACAAAGGAAGGAGATTCGTATTCGTTGGAATAATGTTTCCTTGTTCAATTTGTGTAGGTATTTCATTTGCGCATGCATATAATGTTTCTTTAGAATATTAATTAAGTGAGTCATTTTTGGTTCTAGGAGCTTTACTATTTCTATATTTTGGAGAAGACAATCTTATCATTTTGCTTCACTTTCTTCTCTCGTTTGACTTGTATATTTTGTTATGGATTTCCTCTTGTTCTTGGCTTCTACTAAAAAGTACGAAATTTCACCATCAAATCGTGGTAAAATTCAATATCACAATTCCCTAACAAAAAATTTACTGTCTAACTTCTTCTGTTACTTGACAAAATATTTGCCCAACTAAGTTCAGTCCGCAAAATAATTTGCAGTGATATCTTCTTTTGTTATATCCTTTTTTCGTGTAGAATTAGCCAAAATTTTAGATGAAACTAATTTCAACTCTCAATCAAGGTATTTTCGAAATACATCGTATCGTATGAGTTGAGGGAATTCCATGTAACATATCCTCTTCATTTGACTCATCCTCTACGAATTCGTCTAAGAAAATACCTTCGGAGTGAACACAGACACACAGTCACATAATAATCATCTTTAACATGCGACGTGTTCTCAAACATGCATCTCGAGAAGTGTTACAACTTTGTGATAGACTCTGTAGTGTGATGAAGGTGTCATATGAAGTTTTTGGTGGCATGTTGTAGAACAGCTAGTATTTAAGCCAATCTTTTTTCATGGCCATCTCCCTAGACAAACACCATTAATTTTAAAGATTTATTGGGTAAGGTGGGAGGTGGGGGTGCAGTATGTTGGAGCCACAGAGTAGACTTAATGAAGCACTAAATAAATGAATTTTCTGGATGCAAATTTTAGAAGAACTAGTATTTAACCGAGTGTTGCTTTATCACCAATTCATCACGACAAGCTTATTGTTATAACTAAGACTTTTGTCTACATACATTTTGTGGTCAAACAAGTATCAATCAAAAGATGGAAGGAAAAACAGTGATCTCAAGTCTGCTCATAATGAGGCTTGTCTTGACAAAGATTCAAGTAGAAGCAAAAAAACTCTGCTGTCCTAACCAGACTGCTAGATCTAAATATCTATTATGCATTAGGAGGCCATCCCCAGAACATTGTCTAGCATTGAGTACATGCAAAATTATTTCTGGGAATATATGTCCTCCGGGATATACAAATGACATTCATGAAAATTCTGGTATATCCAATTTTTCTATTAAGTTATCTTTGTTATAAGATCGATGTAATTTTCATTTGTGATGCAAGTCATTTAATGTATCTTGATTTTTGCCTCAGGTGATGCTGTCAATGAATATTGCGAGTTGGGGTGTGCATCCTCTGTGTGTGGTGCCTTGACTACTCTCCAAAACTCGGGTAAAGCAAGCTTTCCCACACCAAGTTCACTATTAGTATTATCCTTATTTCTATTAAGACAAGCGACTAATTCAAACTAATATTGTTTCCGTGACTAGACGCAAGTAAAGCTTTGAGTGAAGCGGTTGAACTATGCGCCAAGGCATGTTCTACTGTCTGCACCGGAGGATCTACGGCCGCAATTAAAAGTGCTTAAACAAAGCATGAATAAAAGTGAAAGGATGGCCATCATAATTCAGAGTGTCTTTTTTCATGCAATAATGCTAGACTATGGTGCTAGTACTGTTTAATAAGTTGTTTCCAGCTTGTCTACGTGTCATAGAGGGTTATCGATTCTAGATCACTAGATTGTATACCATTCTACTTGTCTTTATCTAAATAAATAATAATGCGTCCTTCTCGACTAATTTAATTAGTTTTCACTTATATATATTATCATTAGTCCACACTTGGGACGTAAATTGTTTGCTCATGACAATATATGCAACTTAGCAACAGTGTATGCAAGATTGCAAATAATATCAAATTATGCTTAAAGAAATATATGAACTACTCGGAATGCCACCGATGGGTGGCTACTATACTAAGATCAAGCTGCCCTCGTATGTAAAACTATCCATTCAAGTAAATGAAACTTATAGTGCCATGGTGCTTAATGTCTTCCACAGAACTGTGACTAGAATTAGTTAGAAAATTTCCTTCAGTGACTGGAATGATTGTCACGCTTTTATCAATGGGCGTTGTACATGATCAGCCGATGAAAATTTTCTGTGATAACAAATCAGCAATCTACATCAGTACAAACCCGGTGTTTCCTGAACGTAAAAAGCACATCGAGAATGATTGTCACGCCGTTTGTGATGACATTTTTTTGATGAAATTAAAAGAAGTTGATAAGCTTGTGCTTAACCTAGTTGAGATCGCTGTGTAAAAGGGTTTTTATCGATATGGATTTATGCAAAATTACATCGCACGCATTGAGAGAGAGATCTTTTTCGTTGGTACTTGTATGATATTGTAAGAAATATTTCCTTTCCACGATTTTTTAACAGTCAATCAAACAGTGCTAGTTTTAAATAACACGTGGGTATATATATTTGCAAAATCCAATGTTGTACTTAGTCTTTTTAATAACATTTGGGTGTTATTAGTTTACAACATGGGTGTTTCCGTCGTTGATACTTTGATGGTGTGAAATCGTCTGGTCTACAACAAAAAAAGAAGGTTGACTTTGTTGACTAGTCGGTCATAAAACAGTTAAATTATTAATTTTAATAGATGCAATCATGCAAATAAGTCGCAAAGTCGAACCGGGAGAGGAAAATTAGTTGCAACTTGCAAGTAAAGCAACTAGCTAAACCTACCAACCCATGTTCATTTTAAATTCCTACATGTAATAATGTATATAAAATTTCAAAATATATATAAAAGTCTACATATATGTTTAGTGTTCTCATATTTTCTTTTAGTTTATTTAAGATTATAAGATAGAAGAGCCATATGACAAAAAAAAAGAAGAAGATAGAAGAGCCAATGAAGATGAAAGAATACATCACATGTTCTTTTGCTACGTTAGTTTCTATAGCTTGCCGAAGTAATTAATACATGGAGTGACTCCAATCTCGGTCATCACCAATATTCTCACTTTACTGATTTATTAAATATTGGTTAAAGTTTTTAGATATATTTAGCTCGAGCAAAAAAGAAAAAAGTTTAAACTCAAACTCTTAGTTCTACCGATTTAAAGGGGAATATGGCAAAGTCCCGAGGTCGAATTCTAACTGCAACTTCTTTTGATACCAAGCAAAAGTAGAAGAGTTTACATTGTTTTGTACTTTTAAATTATTTAGCATATACTCCCTCCGTTTCAAAATATAAGGCGTTTTAGCTAAGAGCACGCCGATTAATAAGATCTACTTTTTAAAAGTTCAGCCAATTATAAAAGAGGCTGCATAATAAAAATAATCATAAAATATTAAAGTAATATATAATTTGCATAGAAACTTGAAAACGACTTATATTTTGAAACAAAACAGTTTCTCCAAAACGTCTTATATTTTGAAACGGAGGGAGTAACATATTAACTCTTTGCTCAACTCTTTGCTCAATGTCAGATAATAGGCCAACATCTCTTTGCCCAATGTCAGATTATAGGCCATACAATGTTAGATTGTAGGCCAATAGCTCTTTGCTCAGTTTATTATAAGATTATTGCAAAGCTACTGACTAAACGGCTCCAGCCCGTACTCCACAATCTGGTTTCAGAAAACCAGTCGGCCTTCGTCCCCCAAAAAGTGATTGCTGACAATGTCCTCATCACACATGAAGCCTTATACTACCTGCATACATCCGGTGCAAAAAAAGATGTTATATCTTTGACAAACTGATCCGCAGTTCCTGAACTTTATGGCTAGTCATTCAGGTGCAACGGCAACCACATAGCCTCTCTCAACCGGCCTTCACCAAACAGCTCCATCTTCAACTACACCTGCTTCTTAGGTTACTTTCTCTATATCTCAACTCTTTTCAATCTCATGAACTCAATGCCACTCTTGTGTGTGTTGGAGTTTCTATTTGTAGATACATGAACTCAATGTCACTTTCTTGTGTGTGTTGGAGTTTCTATCTGTATATACATGAACTCAATGTTACTTGTTTTTTTAATATTTTCATTGTAATGTATATTTCAATATAATGTTAATTTTGTTATAGTTATAATCAGAGTAGTATTTATTATGTCATAATCAAAGTCAAAAAGCAGGTTGCATACAATGATACAATCAAAAACAAAACCAATTCCAATTCTGATCCATACCCAATTCTTATGATGACAACAACAATAGTCGTTAATTTAGTCGCAACATAGTCGCATTATAGTCACTATATTTTACGACTATACAATGTCTAATACTTACCGACTACAATGTTAGTCGCTTAATAGTCGTCACATAGTCGCATAATAGTTGGTAACATTTTACGACTATTTTAGGACTATACTTAGACGACATGTTATTCATGCGGTTTAATCATTACTTAATCGTCAATTAGTCACTAAATTTTGCGACAATGTTACGACTACTTTACGACCACTAATTGTGCATGACGTTTAGTCATAATTGCAAACCAAGTCGCTTTAGTCCAATAGTAAAGGAGAGAAAAATCTTCGCCACTTGGGTTCGAGTAGCATTAGCCACCATAGTTCGAATTCTAACATGGTTTGTTGGCTTATGTATAGAAATTACGACCTCCCATTTTTATACCCTTCGTCATTACAATTTTACAATTATCCTCATTTGTTGGCTCATGAATGGAAATACTCTTTGGCATTACAATTTTGTATGATTTTATGAATGAAATAGGATCACATATTTTATTTCATATATGCAAATATTTTTATCATGAGTCTTCGTATGAAAACGGTCAAAGCTTTGTATGGAAAATTGAAAAAAAATGTAAGAACGTTTTTTCGGAGAAATGATGTAAAAGAACGGTTGAATGGAGAAGTAGTTGGTGAGTTTGTAATTATTGATGCTTCATTTACTTCTATATATATTGATAGCATGAGATGGTCTTTTGCTACGGTAGAGAGACAAAGTGGACCATAAATGGCGACCAAGATATCACATTTAGTTTCTCTTCTTTTGTCTTTACTTCTTTTGCTTCTGTTTATCTCCTCTCAAGTTGGATTCACAGAAGCCCAACGCGACCAAAGTTAGTATTTGCACTCATTTTGATGTTTTTTTTTTCATTTTGTGTTTTTTTTTTTCTTCTAAGTATTAATTTTCTAGATATCAAATCATATACCATGTATGATAATTAAGTAATTTATGTAACCTTTAAATCTAGGATTATATATGTAGGCTATTTGACTGTTTACATTAGAGTTTTTTTTTTTTTTTTTTTTTAGCATGATTATTAAATCATTTTTCATTTCTCGGGTATATGAGCAATCATTATGATTCTATTGACCATTCTAAACCTTGTTTGAAAATAGATTTAATCAAGAAACAGAAAGAGAAAACGATTATGATGTGAAAACTAGAAACCAATAGTAATCCTTTTTGCCAAAGATTTTTCTTTACACAATATGTAAGCAGACCTTATTTATATTCCTTTTTTTCTTATACATATTTATATATGAATTTTAGAATTATGAAGAATTGAAGGCAAAATGGAAAAAAAATGATACACACATTAACTAACTCATATGTTTACTCATAAATTTTTATTTGTTTGCTGTTAAATATTATATTAAATTTTAGAATTTATTGAAAACGTTAACGCTTCCGTCTTTTTATTTATTGTTATGGCGCATATGTTTAGATGTATTACCTAATTATTTATATTTGTATATTTTCAATTGATTTATTTTTGATAATTGTATATTTAATGGTTGTAAATTATTTAATGAAACAATATCTTCAATATTGCTTGCAGGTATAAAGACGCCGTCTCCACCAATTCCTCCCCCTCCCCCTCGTTTTTATGTACCTCCTTCAAAATCCCGCAGAGGAAAAGGCCCATAAACAAAAACAAATAGAGTAAAAAGCTTATAAAGAAAGAGCATAAATATTATTAATCATATATGGTTTTATACATGTATAATTTATTTGTGATTATTTTAGTGATTCTATTTTATTAAATAAATGATTGGTTTTCTGCAGTGTCTTATATGAAACAAGCAAATTAAATATATATGTAGCAAACATAAGTTTGATGTATCACACGATGGGGGAGGCGTGATTCACGTCTCATACAAGCCATGTTCGTTTCTCTATTCAGATGGATTATCTGGATGGAGATGAAGAATGATGTTCGTTTTTGACAATTTAACAGAGCATTTGGATGAATCAGTTGGATGGATCATCTGAATGAGTTTGTAATTTTAGGCAAATTTGTCAAACTCATCTGGATGAACATGATTGGAGCATTTGGTTGGAGATGATTCAGCCAAAAATAACAAATGACAAATATACCCTCATTTACAATCATATATCAAATAATATTTATTTTTCATAGATTTCTCATTTTATATTCTAAAAATCATATATTTGCACCAAAAAAAATCTCTAAAAATTGTGAAATCAAGGATTATCATTTTCATCAAAATCATAAAATCGCGGAATTGTGTTTTTTCCCACCAAAAAGTGAAATCATGATTTTTGATAGAAAATTGTGGAATTCGTTAAAACCGCAAAATCATGTTTTTCCACCAAAACCGCAAAATCATATTTTTCGCCAAATTATGTTTTCCCGCCAAAACCATAAAATCATATTTTCCCGCCAAAACCGCAAAATCATAGTTTTCCCGCCAAAACCGAAAAAAATGAAGAATAACATTTTCCACCAAAACCGTAAAATCATGTTTTCCCGCCAAAACAATAAAATCACGATTTTGGCAGGAAAA